GAATTCACGACTAGCACCCAACAGCTCAAATTTTGGATTCAAAATTTTGACCCCGAAATTCATTCTCACAAAAATAACACAAAAGCGCCCAGTTTGTAAAGGATGGTTGTGTGGACGTTTATATCCTACTTTTAGATGTTCTTTCCAATTATCATCATTTTGCTTAAAATGCGTTTTGGAGTCCAATTGGGCACATACCAGGACGTAATTCCCCTTTAAATCAATAGTAATTTTATTTTTGAAAACAGAATTCGTCTGTGATAATGAAAATATTTAATATATCGTAACCACATCCTATAAAAGGCATGGCTAAATCCATTTGCTTGAAGTTTGCATTTTATCAAATACACCTATGGCTACACGTTTGATCCCTGACAACAGGGCATGGGCTTCATGATTGACTACTGATTATTGTCCCTAGAATTCAAAAAGACATTAAAGGGTGATTTCTATTGCTTAAGATGATGATCCTTACAATGACATTTCGTGTTGTGTGATGATTAATTCCGAGATACATGTAAATGAAAGAAAACAATTTTGGAAAACTTTTCGGTACATGTACTCGCCCCCTCGATTGGGAGTCAGGACATAGACCAAGGAACCTGTCCGGCCAAGCCTGCAGCATAGCACAGTTTTCATATAGTTTTACCCGACGAAGGAAGCTGGAAGTTCGTTTACATATTCCTTGCATCCAGAATTACAAAGATGCTCGGTTTAGAAACATTTAATATGTCCGTGGGCGACGTGTTTACAGAAAATAAATCGCAGATCCATGCTTTCTTCATACGCGTAAACATCCTCAGTACAAACATGTTGTGCGAAGACTTATTCTGCGCGCATAGCAACTGCGTTGCATACGCGCGCCTAAGTCTTCACAAGATGGTGGTTGAGCACATGTGTATTGCTGCATTGTTACAAGCTGCCGTAGGATTGTTGTACATGTATATTTGGCCAATCATTGGCTTACATGATGCTGGACCAACGTTGGTCCAGGGGCCACTTAATCGCTTGTTTTTGAGGCCGGTCTTTATATCACCATTAATGCACCCCCAGTGATCGAGTCTCGACCAATCAGAAGCTATCAACTCTCCAAGGTATTTATTATTATTACTTATTAACATTTTATACCCTTTAGTCAGTTTACCGTCCCAAACTGCCTGGCTATTATTCCCCGTAACGCTTAACTGACATCGCCCGAGCACTCTATGGTTTTCATTTATTCATCAGGAATAAACACACTGTTGTTGACACTGTTATGAAAGGAGGATGTCCTGGAGACATTCCAGATCCAAGGACTGGCACCAAATAGACTTGATCATCAGGACAGTGTCAGATCAGACTCCTACCAAGAGCACGTATGTTTCACTATTTATGAATTCAGAGTAGGTGGCGGGAACCTGACTGCACTTTCATAAACCATAGGGAAGTGGCATCCCACGCACCGTCCCACACGCCCTTGAAGCCTCCTACGCGAAAATCACGATGCGCTAATCTGTCCCCAAAATTGACCGAAATAAGCGTACTGGCAGAAGAAAAAACGTGTACAACACCTATGGAGAGGAGTCTGAAAAAGGAGAAAACAAAAACTTTAAAGAAAATGGCAGATTTTGCGAAACAGCTAAAAAATAAAAAAAGGAACTAGAGGTCTATTAATTTTCGCAGAACAGACCACAGGGCTTTTCCGCATCTATTGAACAAACTTTGGGCAAATATATGACCTTTCAAACCTCTAACAAAGAGAGTTTAGAATTTAGCATATTCAGTTATTGATATTTGTATTTTATTCCATCTAGATAGAATAAAATAAAAATCAATTAAAAATCATATGACGTCACCATGACGTCACCTCAATTGGTATTTACAACACATACCTGACTATGTAAGTACAATGTTTCAACCTAATTGGCCTTGTAGTTTCCTAGATATAATACATTTATTAATACATCTTTAAGATGAAGTCACATGACCCATGATGACATCGTCATGATATAACTTGTTTACGACTAACTTTAGCTTAGAGTTATAGTCTGTGCCTAGTTTAAAGTCAATCTGATTGCATTTCATGTCAAATTTTGGAATTAGACAAAATAACAAATCAGTTGATGACGTCATCTTTAATGTCCGAAGAACCAATCACACAAAAAATGTACAAAATCTAGGGATTTGGGATAGAACAAAAAAAAGAAGAAAAAAATCTTAACAAAACAATTTAGGTTTTTTTGCAAAATTTGTGGAAAAGCCAAAAATGAATTTTAAAAATCACATCCAGAGAAAGCTGTAAAACTTTTGTCAGAGCTCTAGATAATGCTCTAAATGTTGACCTCCAAAAAAGAAACAAAAAGAAACACTCTTCGTATAACACACCACTCTCAGTCTTTGGGAAGAAATAAGTAAAAGAACAACTGGTTCCAGACTTACTCCAGTGAGCCAAGTCCTGTTTAAACGGAAAGGCATGCAGCGCTCACAGAATACAAGGGTTGCCCAAACCAACATACTCTGCTGACTTAATACAGAAAACGTCACATCCCTGCATAATGACTATCCACTGCAGCTTTGTGCGAGCAGTCAGTCGATACTGGCAACATCCGAGGAGAAGTCAACAGCATCAGAAAGCCATCAACCCAACACTGAACAAGACAGCCTGACGTAAGTCAGCTACAAGCCAGACCATCCATGACAAAGGCAAACAGGTGGAAAGATGGGTAAAACACTACTCGGATGTATCCTATGCTGCACTGAAAGCAATAGAATGCCTGCCCATGATTGAGGAGTTGGATGAATGAGATTAAAGAAATGAGAGAGCAGGTTACCCTCCCAAGGTAACTTGCCTGAAGGTTGAAAGTAGACCTTGCCTGAGGGTTGGCTTGCAACACTACGCAGAAAAATACCTGGATCATTAACTGAAGGAATTTACCTACTCATCAGATCAGCTGGGAAACTATTCAATCTCTCTTGACTCTCATTAGAGACTGCTCTTTGCCGTTAAGGTAGCACTGATATCTCATTCTCAGAACAGCTACAAAGCCTTATGGATTGTTTTTCGCATGTTTGTCAAGACTTCAGCTGGGTGATCAACTTGAAGACAACAAATTTGATTGGCCAGGATGTTGAGCAACCTCCTGCTTCTGTCATCAACTACAGGATGGAGGTTGTATACTCTCCCTAGATTCTGAACTCAACAGACAGGTTGGCCAGGCATACGCCATCCTCGCCAGGCTGACAAAGAGAATAATAAAAAAACTGACAATCCACATCATGATTGCAGTTTTAGGCCTACATCCTCAGTCCACTTAGAACTCGGGGCGGCGAGTCCTGGTACCTCTACTCCAGCCTAGAACAGAAACTCAATGCCTTCCATATGTGCAGCCTGAGGTGCCTCCAGACCCTGAACCTGAACATCTTGCTACAACACCACCAACTCTTCTGGATTGGGTAGGTCCTCTTAGGAAAGTTGGCATCTGGCACAAGAAAACCAGGCAATTCTCACCTAAAATTCAAGGTGACATGTAGGCACTGGGCATGAACTTCAAAGGTGGGAGGAGTTGGTGCAGATCCACAGTCTCCCAAGACAGAAGGATGCCTGTTGCCACTACGGATGACTCCAATAAAATTGGGTATTATCTTATAGCAGAAAAATATGACGAATGTGCCAAATTTTAAATACAGGCATTAGGAAATGAAATGCATTTAGATGAGAAGAGAAAAGACCAACATTTTGTCAGCAAGGATGCATGTATTTTTTGTTGCTCTAACCTTTGTTACTCTTTGCTTGATACTATTAGTAGTTGTACTATGAGCAGCTATTCCTTTTTTATTCCTACCAGTATGGTACTCATTCTGACCCTCCTCCAAAAAAGAAGAAGAAAGTACCATAGCCATATACATGTATGTGTCTATGAAGACTGCAACCTACCATTTCCAACATCCTATCATCTGATGAAACACAACAAGTCATCTGTGCACATGTGCACGAGGGGCAGCCCTTTGGCTTCAGCCAACCGTCACTGAACAAGGCATACATGTATTTGGATTGTATTGAAACAAGTCAATACACATTATATTGTGGGTTTTTATCTTTGTTCTATTGTTACTACTCAAAATGAACCTGAATGGAAATTTTTTAGTTCAAGATCACTTACTATAGAGAGATAATGACTTTCACTATCCATGTCTTGTAATCTGTTGGGCACAAGGGCACCACGTGGATGGCACTGCGCCAATTATGTTGTTGATATTTTTTTCTCCTTTCTGTATAACTCTCTTCTCTAAAAGAATTCCTGGCTTTACTGAAGTAAAGTGATTGAGGGCTCTTAGCTTATCCCTACAAAAAGGGTTCTTGCCTGACATTAGGCTTTATTAGTTTTTATTTCTCTCATTTATCATTAGTTTATATTTCCCTAAATTATCATTTGTCTGACCAACTTCAGCAATCTTTATTATTGCAATCTTTTCAGACTGAAAAGTAATGTAATTTTAGGTACATAAAACTTGTACCTTCACTGTAATGATACATGGACAGTCACACTGAACAGGGACCCATACCTTTGCATTCTTAAACACCACATGGAAAGATCAAATTGTAAATTCACAAAACTGCCCACATACATCATGTACGTACAAGAGCTGCCATATCCCACTGAGTTGCAAACTTACTGTAGCTTATTAAATCTGGGTTGTCATTAAGGACCTTGGTTGCTATGCCAGGAGGTTTCCAGGTAGAGCATTTGCAACAGGGTACCTCCTAACATTAATGATGATCAGGGTTTCCTTTTATGTGACCAAAAACAGGAAAGAAAAATGTTATCTTAGTACACGACATGTAGAAAATTAAACCCTATGATATTTCAAGAGATTTAAGAACTGTATGTGCCAATACTGTTCACACATGAACTGATACATGTAAAAGAAACAACCAAAACCTTACACCTGCATCAATTCTTTGTTGGTTGCCTTGCTGCAAACAAACATTCTGACCTATAATTGCTGTAGTTGTAACTCACCTGTGGCAAATCAACTGGCCCAGGTGAAGCTAGTAGGGTTTGTTAGCATCCTTGGGACGCTTCAACTGCACCTTGAGACGTTTCATGCCAATCTGGAAGCCATTCATGGTCTGGATGGCAGTCTGTGCACTATTCGGGTTGTCAAAGCTCACAAATCCTGTTTATCAATCACATTTATGAGATGAATTAAATACTTGTAACCAGAGTTGTAACAAATCACTGATTTTTTTGTGACTCAAGTCGAGTCGAGTCATTTTAAAGAAGTGACTCGAGTCATTAGGTCAAGAAGGTCGAGTCAAGTCGAGTTGAGTCAAATATTTAGCTCGAGTTAATTTGAGTCACAAATATATGAACACTATATAACAAATACAGACAAGGTCATTTGTATCACTAACAGTTCACAAGAAGTGAAACTTCGACCTTATTTGGTTTGGCTTCGGGTCTAGAATTGTTTCCGCTGATCGCTGACATCATCTAAAAAAATATTGCATTAAACAAAACTGTTTCTGATTAAAGTGGGCACGTATCTGTTTAAGTTTTAAAAGGAGGGCAAAAATTTAGCTAGCATTCGATTCCAAGAGCTTTATAAGAAATTGCCCAAAGCCAATGATGAAACAACGAATTGGAAAATAAGTTTAAAATCTGGTTCCTGATAGTATGTGGCACGTTGTATGTTTGTACGTGACAAGCGGCTGCCCTATTGAACTGTATTCGCAAAGTGACATGATCATAACTTTTGCACCGTAAGTCATTGCAAATATTTTTCGCAAAGTTTTGCTTTTATTTTTGAGACTCGAGTCTTATTAACCTTTGCTCGAGTCGAGTCCAGTCTTCTGATGACGGTCTGGAGTGCAGTCGAGTGATTTGATCGCAGTGACTCAAGTCGAGTTGAGTCATTTAGCCTTAGGGACTCGAGTCGAGTCGAGACACCAAAAATTGTGACTGGAGTTGGACTCGAGTCGAGTCATTGACTCGAGTTATTACAACCCTGCTTGTAACTAAAAATACATGTAAATGCTGGCAGTTTTTTTCATCGATGAAGACAGCAAACAGGAATAACTCATTTGCTCACGTTTATTTTGTAACTTTTGAGATCTTTCATGGACTCTCTTGCAGTACAGTGTTCATAAACAGAGTCCATACAAGTATGTGGGCTCCTTTGATACCAAACCCTTTACACACTGTCCCTGACTGCTCCAGTGGGCCTACCCTAGCTAGTCTTTGGCAAATGGTGATTGTTTTAAGTACTCAAACTTGTACTTGTACTCTGGGGTCCAAGAACTTGAACTCTGATTCCTATACCATTCTCACTGGTCAAAGTACATGTACTGGGACTTCGGTGGTACTCAACACTTTGGTACTCAGGAGGAGGTGTTACCCTTCATAATTCTGCACATGGTCTGCTGGGGCTAAAGTGCGGTGAATATACATGTATCTTTCACCATCCCAGGAGTATCCGGGGTTCAATAGTGGGTAGGATTAGCTCCGTAAGCAAGCATGTGTCTCAGATGATGACACAAATGGGCCTATGGAGGACAAAAAAGTGGACATCTGCTTTTCTGTTATCAGAATAGCAGAAAAGCAGATTAAAGTTTTAAAAGATCTGTTTTCAACTTTTCTGACTTTCTGCTACCAGAAAAGTAGAATTTACTTTTCCTCCTTTTGCTAGCAGACAAAAAGCAGATTTTACTTTAGCCAGCCGAAAAGTGGCCTGGCCATTTGCTTTTCTGCTTTCAGAAGAACTTTCCCATCAAACGTTTTGCTATTTGGCTTAATTAAAGAAGACTAAACACACTTTACCAAGGTCCACCCTTCAGAAGAATGCAACATTTCAATGTTTCCGCGGAAGTCTACTGGAAGGTTTGGTAGCCGCGAAACCTACTTGGTTTACTTTCTCTTAGCACCAATATGCATACTGAAAAGAACACCTTTGTGATTGGTTGCTGAGCACGCTTCATGCTCCTGGACATAATGCGCCATGTTATGTGATTGGTGTATGAGCGCATACATGTACATGCCTATATACGGAAAGTCAGCGCTGAAAGGCGTGCATTGTACATGCTGACTCCAGTGTCATACAGAGGATCTAAAGTTGTCATTTTTTATTCGTTCGGTAAACCGGCAGCTAACTTCTTTTGAGGTTCATGTACTTATACCTACTTGTCCAGCTTAGGCGACTTTTCCCCTATGGGCAGCAATTTGTGAATAATAACACCAAAAATTGTAGGAAGACATATTCTTAGAATTTCTCCCTATTAGAATCTTCCTTATCACTGATTAGGTGTTTTGAAAGTACCTATGATCTGCTGATTAGATTAAAAAGATTAACTGAAACTTTGTTATTGGAATAGACCCAATGGATCATACGTGGCTACGCGCACTATTCTCGTCAGTCCGCTGACTGTTGGAAAAAGTCATCCCCAACGTAAAACTCACCAGGCTCATAGATTGGCAAACAGAATGGTGAAAAAGGAGCTGGTAATCAAGCTGGATGGTGTGAACCAGTGTAACTGGGCGTACCTCTCGACCGCTCAACTCATATTCACCCCACACATCAAAAAGGTCATGGAAAAGACAAAGACGCAGGTCGACGCTCGCTGGAACAGACTGCTTCCCCACACAGTGCATATCAGCCCTGGCTCTAGTGTAGTCTACTGCCGAATACGCAATCCCTGGGCCCACAGCAAGCACACCAAAGCTGTCGACACCACCATCAATGATGTGCTATGTGTAATCACAGGTGCCATAGCTCCAACCCCAACAGCTCTCCTTCCCAAGGTCACCAGGATCCAGCCTATCTACCTATGCCACATCTACCTCACACTGAAGCTGGCAGCGAAATCAGACCAGCCTGGCAGATGCCTCAGAGAAACGTATCAGTTGCCAGGCATTTTACTCTATGGAAAAGAATCGTGGGAAGCTAATAAGAAGTCTCGGCTGCATGAGTTTGTGGATAAGCCTTGATTTAAAGCCGCCAGGATACAACTTCCAAACGGAAAGCGTGGGTCCGCCTCAATCACCTGCGCACCGGCTGGGGCAAGACGTGCAGCTTTCTGCAAAAATTCGGAGCTGCAGACTTGAACAGATGCGTGAGTGGCAGCCCGCAAACTGTTCACCACATTGCAGGTGACTCTCCGGTATTCAGCCCTCTGAATGGCATACAGCGACTCATAGATCTTGACGACGCCACCCTCAACTGGTTGCAGATGGTGGACTTACCATTGTAATGATCGCACTGTTGATTCATAGGAAAGAAGATGCCCTAATAATACCCTTCAAGTGTCTGCAAACAATGGGACACTATAGTGCAGTGTTAACTTACCAAAGCATTTACTCTGATTAGTGCAGCGATCAACAAAGACCTTGGAACTGATGACGTTGCCAAAGGGCAGGAACATCTGCATCAGTTCAGCATCACCAAATTCCTGTGGCAAGTGATAGATGAATAAATTGCAGCCTTCAGGACCAGCAAGAGAGAAGCGGACAGGAGACATCACAGCAGCTGTTTAAAAAAGACCAGCAAAAATGATTAGGTGCATAGAGTACTTTATTGTACCTCCTGTGTTCCCTGCCCTGAACCCTGTTGAACCAGGCATCTCTTATGATGCCATGTAGCACAATTTTTGAAAAGCTATGGAGCAATGTAGGTGCCTTTTCTTTGAAATTAAATGGAAGATTTGAAATTCTTTCAATGTGTGGTCATTTACAAATCACACTTATTGCATTTTGTAGACCTACATGTAGCTAGGGTTGAGGGCTGAATTGGGAGTTTGTGCACTCCAAATAGAGCTTTGTAGATTTCGTATTTTTGTTACAAGGAGTGAGACTGGTAAAAAAAAAAAAGACAATCATTTTCTAAATCGTGTGGTATGACAGAGAAATTTGTTTTGAAGAAAAAATTAAAAAAATAACACAAAAACAAAAATAAACCAAAAAACAAGATACCAGGCATTACTCAAATTAAATTACAAATGGCTTATTTAACATTTAACGTGCCAAAACAAAACAATTGTACACAAGATGAAATATTACAATGTGGAATGGATGCTAAAATGCAAAGTAATTCTCTTTGCTTTGTAGCCATACAATGTTGACTGGCATAAGGTTTATAAAATGTAAATTCTTTCAGGAGAAACTCTGCCAGTGCACAGTACAAATGATGGGCATATTATTCACTGATTTGTTTTTAAAATTGGTCAATATGTCACCATCTTATGGTTGCAGAAACAGCTCATTGGCTTTTCCGCAAAGTTGCAGAAAACCTTTGTTTGTGTTCTGATTTTTTTCTTTCTTTTTCCTCGTCTTTTTATTCTATCCCAAATCCCATAGACTTTTTGCATGATTTTTCCCCCATCCACTTTTGGCATTCATCTTTGTCATACACCATTCAAAGTTACTGGTAGCATGGACATAGTCCCAATAGCAAAGTTGTGTCCCAAGGAGTAATGTCATGATGACGTCATCATCAGCACGTTCGATTACTTCCCCCGCACTTACTTGTGCAAGCGCGACAGCGTTCGATTTACCTCTCACGTGACTTCTCGCGCTTACTCGAGCCTGGCCCAGTAACCGACTCGCCGAGCCGGTTACTTGGGTAAGTATCCCATAAGGCCATGCAATAAACATGGCTGCCAACGTGCCGTCCGGCGGGGGCCTCAGGCCAGCCGTGTCCGAAACGGGCGTAAAAAATGTTGCAACCTGACGCGACTTTTTTCATTCATTGCAAAAATGATGATAAGACGTGAATCTGGGACTGAGAAACATTTCCAATTTTGTTAGGAAATACTTAAAAATTTGTTTTGATTGTCCATAGACTATGAACACAAACCGCTGAAGTGGCATCAGGTTGCAACATTTTTTTCGAAATGGGCTTCCAGAGCTACGGCTATGTCTATTGTCAGCGCTTCCCCGCGTATTTTCAATGGGCGTGGACCTAGACCTAGCTCTAGACAGTTGATTCGGATGCAGCCTGTGTCATGTCAAAGTTCAACTTTCCAGCTCTTGCACGAAACTTTACCCGAAATCGTTCGTTTATTGAGCTCCTCGCGCATATCTGTCATCACGTGAGGAGCCAGGCGCGAGTAAGCTAGGGGAAGTAATCGAATGCACCCAACGTGTCATGTGACTTCATCTTAAAGGTGCATTTTTCAATGGCCCATATCTACAGAACTACAAGGTTGATTGGGTTGAAACTGTGTCAGTACACATACCGGGATGGGTACTAACCAGGATGAAAATTGAGGTGACTTCATGACAACGTTATCATATGATTTTACATGGATTTTTGACATTTTCAAGTTCATTGATGTATCTCACAAATGCAACATGCTAAACTCAAAATTATTTCTGTAATAGGTTGGTTGGGTCATACAGATTTGCACACAAAAAAGTGAAGTGTGTGACGTGGTGGTGGTGGTGACGTCATCAAAAATGCAATTTTTCAAAACACGTATATAAGGGAAGGTCCTATTGTCATGAAACTTGGCGGGAAGCTAGATATTATTAAAATGCAAATACCAAAGTGATGTCATGATGAGGTCATCGGTTGATTTTTTATGAATTTTAAAAAAAATGTATATTTCATTTTGCTCACAAAATGTGACATTGTCTTTGCTCAGATCGACTCCAAACTTGACGACACAGAACAAGATCACATTGTAAATGTATGCACTGACAAGTGCCGTCATTATGACTCATGATCAAGGGCCATGTGACATCATCATAAATCTGCATTTTCATAGTCCTATATGTAGAGAACTAAAACTCCAATTGCATTGAAACTTCGTATGTTTATAGATAGGGATGTGTTATAGATGGTGATTTCATCATGTGATCTTATATAGATTTCTGGAATTTTGAAGATTATTGCATATCTCACGACCACAACATGCTAAATTCAAAATTATTTTTGAATCTAAAAAATTACGGCCTGACGTTTTGATCTCAACAAGATCTGCTTCAGAGGCAAAATGACAGAGGTACAAGAAACAAACACAAGAAACAAACATGTAGGGACTCACAAGCATGCAGGGTTGGGAGGAAAAATACAACAAAATTAAACAGGGGACTGACCAATGTGGGTGTGGATCAAAGGGAAAGGAGTAAGAGAGCGAACAAAGGACTGATTCAATGGGGGACAGACCAAGGGGGATTTAGTGGGTGGGGGGGGGGGGGGAGCACACCAGTGTGGGTAGAGACAACAGGGAATGCAGTGGAAGGAAGAACAAAGGACGGATTAAATAGGGGAGGACCTACCCTTGTATGTGTTTTTTGTAATACCAGTAGGTTTGATAGGTTATAGATATTTCCAAACAATGTGAAAAATGTGTGATGTCATTGTGACGTCATCAAAAATGCAAAAAAAAAAAAATTAGCACATAAAAAGGTAGGTCCGATCACCATGAAACTTGGTGGGAAGGTAGATAATGCTACTAGCATGCAAAATTGTATGCCAAATGACGTCAAGATTATCAATTACATTATTACATTACCAATTGGTTATTAATAAATGTTTAAACTTTTATATTTTACATTAAATGCATTTTGTACACAAAATTATCGTTTATATGACTGCACTTCGCCAAACAAAAGCATAAACTCATAAAAAAAATCATAATGCAGAAAAGCCCTATGTTCTGTTCTTAAACAGACATAGGCCTCTAGTTTTAGCTCATTTGTTATTCTCCCTGCAGCAAAGAGACAACACATCACCATTTTCATGAACTGACGGTGGTGTAAAAAAAGGCATTTCAATTTTGAAATTGTGCAATCCCTTCTGGCATCTTCCATAAGCAAAACCTAATTAACTTTTAAATTATATTCAAGGTGAAGTGGCAGACTTCTTCATAAATGCATTTTGCACTTTAATGAAGATACACATACATGATCCCCCCTCCCCTCAAAAAAATTGTATTATAAGAAAATAGGTAAAACGGTACATGTGTAATTTGCGTTTGCCAGAAAGGGACGGTCAACTTAACAAATTTTCAGCTGCACATATTTAAACATGCGCACCAGCCCCTACTATGGCAAAACAGTAGCTCAAATATTTTAGTAAGTAAATTTGCATTTTGTTTTTTATACAAAGGGGTGGGCATCTTTACCACCCTGTAAATGATAATTACTGGAGGGATTTTACTGCATGAAATTATTGCAATGTGATACATTTCACAATTTTAATAACAGGAACTGCTGTTATGATTTTCTTGAAAGGAATCTAAGTTTCTTCAATATTGACTTTCATGAAACAGAGACGAATGTGACCAATGAGCAAAATACTTTAATCATGAACATTATTATTTATTTATTTTTTAGGGGGGGGGGTCGATTTTTGGCTCACTGATTTTCCTTTATTTCAGCAAAGCTGTTCATTAGACAATAAACTACATGTAGAATATGAAGTCATGGTGATTACTACTAAGGGACACTATGCATTTACCCATTTATTTCCGTTTGGGTCCAAACCTACATTTTTGGTACTTTTTTCGACAATTTGTAATTTGTGTACATCAATCAAATTGTAATAAAAGCAATGAAGACATACATGTACATGTATGTGCTAGCATGTATTGCACTCATGGCAATGACGCAGTAGGCCATAGTGCACCAAATGCTGTGGAGGCATGCGTACGCTTTTATTTTAAAAACACTGACAAATGTCTAATTGCATTAAGAAACAGGTAGGAATTCAAATGAGTGACAAAAAATATAAAGTACATTCATTGAACCTTTTGCATCAGTTAAATGTGTGATAATTGTGATTGTCTATAAAACCCACTAATCATGCTAATGTGGAGGGAGCCTCACTTTGACGTACACACACAAGACCAAGCAAATTTGTTAACAATGCATAAGTCTTGTCTATAAATATGTGTACATTAACTTAAGAGCACTGCACACATTATAGCCAATTTTTGTACATGACTGATTTAGAAAGAAATAAACTGCATGCAAAACAGTTGGTCTCTGCACAGCACAAGCCCCATCACTATACACACTGCATTAAACAGGCATTCCATAAATTGATCAACAAGACATACTGCCATTGTCAGGTACGTTGTATAAATGTGAATCTCCCTCACGTTGCTCTTTAGTGATGACGGTGGCATACTCACCCTCCCTAGCCTGAGGGGTTTGCATGACTGTTGTCTGCTGGGCAGGGAATCCCTGGGCTAGTTGCCCATAGGCATTGGGATAGGTAGCTGCAGATACACAGAAAGCAACAATGAATGTGCCATAGTTAATGAAACTATAAGTCTAGATCATTGCAAGACTGACAAGGCAAACAATAATCTGGCAACATTAATGTTTGAAATAGTTAAGGTGATACAAAACTAGAAACATAATATTGAGCACCTCTCAAGTGAAGAAACGAGGAGAGCTGTGAGAAAAAAGTTCTTCAAAAGGTTCTTAATTAATCAGCATACATGTATATCCAAAATAGTTGTTACCTACAAAATGTTTTCAGGACTCAAATTCCTTCCTAATAGCCACTGAATGCTGTGACTAATTGGTGTAAAGTATGTGCCTTTTTATAACCTTTTTCAGGGGTCAATTTCTTGTGCTTAAACCAGTTTTGTGGGAACCAATTCAATGAGTATGATAGATACCCATCAGATGAACTGTTGTGTCATGGTTTCAGAATACGAACCTTCCAACCATTCAGTCTGAATAAAATTAACGCTGTCAAATAAATGGCAGCATGATTTTTCAAATAACATTTTATCTTCTTTTGTTGTTATCCACATTTTCATCATCAGGGGATAATTTATGACTCTATTGACACTTTTCTGCTCGTTAACGTAGTTTCATGTTGCTGTTGCTGTTATACTTTTTTGCTCGTTTGTTGTGTTGTTGGGGCTGTTTGTTTGGGATTTTTTGGTTTTTAATTTTTATTTTTAAGGGCAGGCATCAGTCACATTGCATGTTATTTTTTATGATCAAAATTGTAAATGTAATCAACCGCAAGCCCACATTGGCACATTCAATTACACTGGTCATACAAAATGACAACATTTTACAATTGCCATAAAAATACAAACAAATGTCAAATACAGACTTTAAGAAGTAAGGTGAAAAGAGGAATACTTGAATGCATGACAACAGACGTGCAATAGCATGCTACATAATAAATGAAAAATAATTTTTCAGTAATTAATAAAATGAGGTAAAAAAAGAATAATACTTATACACGTTCGGAGCAACAAAATTGCTCAAAAACTTAAGAAGGGTGAACAATGTATAATTCATGTTGCTGTGCTGTTTCTTCCTAATGTGACAATTTCAAGGTACATGTACATCAAATAGCTCTGGTTTCTTCTTGAGAAAGTCAATACTTAGAGGTATGTAGGACCATTTGCTTTCTATGCATTTTTGTTGTCATTGGGAGATTAATTGCTCAAAATCGGAAGGAGGGTGTGTAACAACTTACTTGTTGATGTTTGGGCCGGGTGAATCTTATATATTTTAAGAAAACAGAGAAAGCATATGCACAAGTTGTTTGGTCTCGTAACTGGGTTCCTTTGCTGAGGCATGTAACAATAAGTGTGCCTGCAGGCACCCTATTTGGAAACCACCTTCAAAGTTAGTTTTCTTCCAGACAATACCATTTCAGGTGGGATAATTTCACAGGGTATTTGATACCAGTCCTATCTTCACTTTGAGCTAGGTTTCCATCATTAAATTGGTAGAAATTTTTCTGGGTAATTGCAAATGTTCCTACATGGTTTTAGAACAGCTATCCTCAAAATAAAATGATTTAATATTCTTCCATTTTTCACACTGCTCTTTATTTTTATGATTATTCCTTTTCATAACCCACTTTATTGATTTTTTTATATGAAATATTTCAGAAGAAGTTACATTTCTTTCAACATGAATGAACCAACTTATCATCTTGACGTAAGCAAGGTACAAAATGACATTATTGTATCTTCTAAAGGTTTCTACAGACTTGTTTGTGAACATACGGGCTACAGTGCCAACAAAAAATTATTCTGCTCTGGGAAAAAAATGTATACGGTGACAATACGTCAAGAATGGGAAAAAATAGGGAAGAAAACCAATGCTGCATACATGTATTGCCAGTTTATGTTAAACTTGCCATCACATTTATGATTTTAGTGAAATATTTTCTCATACAAAAAGTTGGGGGAAAAAGCCTATTTGTTAAAATGCCTTGGGGAAGTTAGGTGATAGTTAAGCTACTAATATTGATCTTTGACCCTAAATTAAGAACAACTTGTCACCTTATGGCAACCTGTCAAATGTTAAACCTTAACCGTACCAACTTCATCAAAATCCATCCCCCCATTTTGGGGGATTTTGGCAGATAAGCCAGGTGTACCAAGTCCATCAAAATCCACCAGCACTAGTGGTGGATTTCAACAGATTTGGTCCTGAAGCATTATGTGAAGCAGCGTTGTGATGGAGTTTGATGGACATGGTGTTCTACTTAGTAAAACTATGTAGGCACTTAGCTAGGGTTAAAGAGAAAAACTGAACACAACTGATTATAGAAAAGTATTCAACATTTTTTCTCAAAGATATTAACTTTGACCTCTTGAACCCCATCACATTGTTTCCTTTAAGGGCAGCCTTCTGATAGGTGTTTCTAAAAATATATCATTTGGAAACCAACTTAAAATCCTGAAACCAATAAATAAATTGTATTTCCTACAACTGGCCTTGACCATTATATTAATGCCCAAACATATGAAAATAATACTCTTTTTTAGTTGCTTAGAATTATATCTCTTCCCAAGTGCTTTTGTTTATGGTCTTTTGTGCAACCGATTGCCACTTATGGCCCACATTACAGGCCTTCAGCTGATTTTGGAAACAGTACGGAATGTATGCCACGCGTAGGATTTACTAAGCTTGTTGTGCAGCCTTGTCACAAATTTGTTGCTTAGTTTTGACATGTTGCACAACTTACACCATAAAATGTGGCTTAAGTGGAGTTATGCCATTGCGTACAGTTTGTGAAATCAACCGCAGATTAATCATCATCTGAAACATGACATGTATACAGACCACATTGGTATGTGTTGCAGACCTCATGGAGTAAAAGAGTTATGAGGCCTTCATAGTCTTCCCCAAGATACAAATCCTCATCAGAACACTCCTCTATCACCAGTGTGACCTTGATCCTCTCAACTTCTGACATAACCTAAACTTTTTTAAGGGCATCCTTGCCACCAAAATATGAGGTAACAAACAAAACCAACCTAAAAAAGCACATGTACAATGTATGCTTAATAAAATGAACTAAATCCTCATTTCATAAGGTCAGCCTTTTATGCTTGGGGTGGTTTCTACATAACTTTGCAGTTACGGTTATAGGTTCAAAATAAAAATGTATTTATGTATCATTACCAGCATATTGTTGCATCCCAGTGTATGCCTGCTGCAATGGATCAGTAGTAGCTGCAGCAGCAGCAGCAGCAGTAGCCTGAGCTGAAAACAAAGTTGATGCACACAAACAATTATGACAAAATGGGATAAATTAATGTTTCATAAATATTATAGGTCCTTTTTCCAAAGTGCTGAATGGAAGTTGGACTTAATATTCAAAGGATATTATTTTGAATAGGTAAAGGACTCGCTGTACAAGTACACATGTACATGTACCTGCTCAGTAGAGTAAGTTGGGAGTGACCACTGGGAGAGACTATATATGCACTGCCTGTTGCCCCTGATGCTCACTTTCAGAATACAATTTAATTGTGCGCGCTTGAACAAATGTGTGCATCCAGCGTGTCCCTCCCACTGGAGTTCCTGTGAGTGGTGACATAGCGTCATCGATCGCTCTATTGTAATGCTGTAAGTAACCTGTTACAATTGTTCATCAGCGTTATTTTTTTTACTTGGAAAAAAGGATAAACGAACTGGCAAACTGAATGCACACTTGCAAGAAGTTCCTCTGGACACAAAATGACAAGTCTCTGATTTCTATGGAGTACGTCTTGTTGATCCCATGTCACAGAAAACAACAGGAACTTATTACTAATATGCACAGACTCCTACAGGTTCTCTGATGTACTGACAGCAAGGGACTCCATGATCAGGTGAATGCAGAAAATAGTGGAAAAGAACAACTAATATATGACCACACAGTTAATCACCTGTCCTCTGGAACACCAAAACAAAGATCAGTTACAAATATAGAGCTATATATCAAATTAGCCCCCCCCCCCCAAAGTTCTGCTTCCGATTACATGGCATTTGAAAATAGGGTAAGTAGGTAGGGAAAACATTTTTGGGGGGGAATTTTTTTTGTGTACGATCATATGGAGGTGTCTGCCTGTAAGTCAGGGGTAACAAATAGTAACTGATGATTTTCGGGAGGTTTTCCTCATATTTCCAAAAAAAAATTAGGGTAGGGGCTGTTAAAATAGGGTAGGGGCTGTCAAAATACGGTAGGGTAGGTAGGGTAACCGGAAGCAGAACTATTATTTTTGTTTGCCTTACTAGAGGCTGGCTCGATGTACAAAGTGGCGCCTGCTGGGCGCATCGTTATTGTGCACAAACCTATGGAAAACTCAAAATTGCGTAGGCCTAAGGCTTTTGTACGTCTATTTGCATATGTGACCCACTCTACAAAAAAGGGTATTAAGTCGTGCTATGCCTTATCGTGTAATGGCCTGCTCAACGTTGCGAGGGTCAAAATGTGATTTTAATTTTTTGTCATGAATGACATCTTTAATACCAGCTTCAGGGTTCATTCACAGAACTGTTAATGTTGATGAATAAAGTGGGGGAAAAAACACAATTTTATGTGCATAGTGATAGTGCCCCAATCTACAACAGAGCCAGCTATTTCAAAGCCTGTTTTCTCAGTTGTGTAATTCAAACTCCAAGGAAGCAATTAATATGCAAATACGTCATATCTCCAGAACAGGGGGGGGGGGGGGGGGGGGGGCTATGCATGGAGCTCTATTATATACCAAATGAAACATGGCTTTCCAACCATGTTTATTTATAACTCAATTTCACTTTTTTTGCAACATAATACCCTTTTTGTGGAGTGGGTCACATATCTGTGTTTGCGTACTACACCAGTGTGTTATCAAAGCCGATACGCCCAAAACGGAAACACACAATCAGTAAATGAATGTTAAATTTTGCTCTACGCAAACGTTTTTAAACGTGACGTTTTTAAACCCACATGATGCGCTGAAGTTGTTTGCGTACTGTATGTTGAACTTGCATTTGGAGTAAACTTTCAAAATTCACTCCATCTAATTTCATTATGTTCTGCGCAGGACAGCTTCAAATTATCTTCACGCGTGAGAATGAGGGGTCAGTGCTTTAGTCATTAAATATAGCTCTATGGTTACAAACTACTTTAGAACTGTGATAATCCAAAACCTTCTCACCAATACATTCAGTACAAATTATAGATATTCATCACTTTAATATCCACTTCCTCGTCAAGATCATAAAAGGAGAATTTCATCCAGCTCAATCCACGCCATATCAACCAAGAAAGACAAATCAATATGAGACAATCCTGACAATAATGCTACAATCAACAGTGCAGCCCTGAAGGAGACATTCAAGTTACTACAATCCTTCTAAACATAATTATCTGTGGACGTTGATATCATGCATGCCTGCTAGAAATTAGGAAATGACAGCTTGCAAAAAAACCTGTGTAAATGGTCCATGTAGGTCCATAGGAATTTGCTGTTTTTCAAGTAGAAAAGCACTTTGACAGTGGCATTCACAGGTCATGTTCTGCAATTCTTTAATTGTTTATGACTGACCATTGTTTTTGTTTTTTTCGGTGGGGGGGGGGGGTCCTCCCCCCAAAAAAACCAAACTCTAGTGAATATGCTAACAAAACTTTTGAATGGTAACAGAATGAGGCACTTTAGGTTTTTGGACCTCATTAATCATAAGACTAAAGATGAAACAAGAGACTCCAGTAGAAATGGAAGTTATTTAGGTGTAGAGCTGATCCTCAATTCTCTCGTCTGATACCAATTAGGCTTGTTTTGTGTCGTGTGTCATTCACCTACAAGCCCAAGTGCCTAGCTGTTTATTGGGCATATATCACGGACAATAGACTTATAACAAAATGCTATCCAGTGCTGCGTTTACACTCAATCCCATCCTGATTCGGATCAACCATTTACAACTGAAGGAAGGTTATTGACCCCCTTGCCGGATCAGATCACTGTTTGACCCCCCTTGCTGGATCAGATCCTAGCTCCTTTGATCTCCCTGCGGGATTCGGTGTACACGCAGCAATAAACAACCTAGATGCCAAATAACAATGGAACTTATTCAGTTTCTTAACAAACTAGCAAGATCTGATACTAGTATGGGGCCAAAATATTATTAATGGTCATTCTACTCATAACTGCATCACTTGAACTGTGTTTTGTTGACCCCTAATAAACCTAAAAACACAACATGTGCAGTCTAGCCACTATGAGATTGATCTTCGATGGTACATTGATGTGTCCTTCCTTGGATGTCTTTACAAAGACCCTTAAACATATTTATTTCATTAATGACTCACGTTTTCTTATTATTTCTAGCTATTCAAGTTGTTCAGCTGGCGCTGTAAAACCATTTATGAGTAAGATAACACTGTACACTGACTTTATTGTATTATTGTATTACAAGGCAGAAATTCAACACACATGGACTAAGGTGTTGGAAGCTGGAGATGTAACAATCAAATGGAAAAAACTTGAACTACTCATTCCAGTCTGCTACCACTTCTCCTACACATTCCCACTTCAACAGCTGACAAGTCTTATTACATGACACTAGGAGTCAATGCCTCGATCAGAAAGCTTTATGTAAATAGAAGTACAGGCATTCGCTGTGGAGGCAACAAGATGGGGCAAACAGTATTACCAAATGAGGGCACAGGGTCTGAATAATGTAGATTCAGCCCAGTCACATTCTAGGGTCCATTTTATAGGGTGTGCGTGTGTGTGCATTATATTTTCGAATGAGTGGGATTAATTTTTTTTTTACCTAATCAATCCAATCAGAACAGTGCAAACATAAATCAAAGCTGACACGACCTACTTACCCAAACCTTCAGTAATGGGTTGGGTCTGGTCAATTTTTGACCAGGTTTGCACAACTTTAGGGCCACAGTCCTAGGGCTGGAGTGCAGTGGCGTAGCAAAGATTTTTAGTGGTGGGGGGACCTGGTATGCATAAAATATCTATACTCATACAATGTATGTTAAACGGTACAACTTATTATGAATGGATGCTATGATAACTTTGTCCAATTTCATATAGGCATACAGTGTAAATGGCACAATGTACAAACGGCTCCATTATCAGGTTGCCATGGATGTAACTTTTTGTAGATTTTAAAATTCTGGAAATTTCATAAATCTTTGTGAAAATTGCACCCATGTGTGTAATTTTCAAGGTCTACAATTGCTTAAAGCAATCTACATTTGGTTTAATACACGTTTATCACATAATTTCAACTCTACAGCTAGATTGACTTAAGATTAATATATCAAAGTTATGTTTCATATAACAGAAATTTAGTCTTTATACTTAGTAATAGTGCTGAAGCTAATATCTACGCCTTATTACCATAGCCATTTAATTAACTACAGAATTGCAATTTCAAGAATACTAGGTCAATTCCATGCAAAAGTGGACATAACTGAAAAGTGGAAACTTTATGACATCTTCAGAACTACGAGCATCACAACCTCAAATGTGATATCAAATTGAAGGAGACAACAAATAACTTTCACATTGATACCAGTGAGATGGAATATTGTTAAGTGAATATTTTTGTCAAAAAACTGGGGTACTTTAGTGGCTAAATTATAGAATTTAGGTAGTCATTTTGGCACCTTGTTTTTGCATGCAAAAGGCACGTATTATTGTGAGTTTATGTTTTTAAGGCAGAGAGAAAGGTCAGTTTTGTTGTTTGGTTATTAGCTTCTATGTCTTAACTTGTACCAAATATGGGTAGCCAAGAAAAAAATGCGAGTAACCGTAATTGGAGTAACCAGCCTTTTTCTTTCTAGCATCTGTTTACCTAGTCTATGGAATATCCCCTTGCACAGCAAGGGTCTATAATATGCGGGAAGATTTGGCCAATAATTATGCAAATAAGACCGCGTCTTGACCTTGAAATTCTGACCATTCAGCGGGCACCTTCTCAGTCTATATGGGGTCTTCGGTAGCCGTTATCATGACATCTAATAAAACCTAGACATACATCTTTTATGCTTTTAAGTTGTGAATTGTAACATACGCTGCGTCCTGCTACGTGATGCGCAATCTGTCCTGTGGATTTGAATGATCATCACATAATATTTTGTGCGTTCACGTCCCTCCAACAATGAGTGTTTGCATAATACGCACAGCATTTTGCTAATACATGTGTAACAGTTTTGAGAGCCAATGTCGTGTCTAGGTTTTATTAGATGTCTTTGCCCGTTGTTGTATTAAAAAAGCATGTCATCCAAAAGGACCAATCAACAAATTAGTCCAGATTTCGGAATGAAATGACATTATGTGGACTCCGATTGGCTGGTGCGTGGGGTCGCATAAATTTACATGCTTAGATATATCAGACATTTGGACCAGACAAGAGAGGGCTACTTTTTACCTGAATTTGGTCTACATTTTTTTTACTGTCCACATTTATACTTTTGTATATCATAAAAATACTCATAAATTTGCTATTGCAGTTTCACTTTTAGGAAACAACTGAATTGAAAGAAGACAATTTTTGGCATACGGGTCCTCTTTGTGTAATGCAAGTAATGTGAACCACATTTCCAAAGAGTGACATGCTCAATTGAGAGAACATACAACTTGTTTGTTGGGTAAGTTAATAGAAGAATGAAGACCACAGCACTCAGAATGTAAAAGGACGCAACAAAGTGTATTGCAAATAACCGTGTAATTGCCCATGTACATGTAAATAAAAAAGTGTGTAACTTTGAATTAACTTATGAAAACTCATGAGTGTTTGTGATCAAATGTTTCAAAGAATAAGATAGACAAGACAGACATGAACATCTTCATTTAACTGTCGCTTAAGCCTACCTAAGACTCGTTAGCATCAGCACTTTATTGTCAGTCCACATTATTGATGTATAATTTTTTGTTTCACTTGACAAAAAAAGAAGTCGCAATTGTATGCAGGTGTTAAAACAATGAACCACTGTAAATCACAAAAGAGTACACAAACATGTACAAATTGAATCTATTTCAAACATCAACAGCCATCAAAAGGACACAAAAATTGGTGCGTACAACTCCTTCAACATTCCAATGGAAACTGCTTGCCACTGAAAATACAATACTGATAATACTTGAGGCACAAAAGAGCACGACACAAGTTGGTTAACATGCCAACCCCTTTATATTCTAACTTGACAAGGCACTATAGCAAACAACCAACAACCACAACAGCTAACCCAATGACCACCACCAATTCAATATATACCAAGCAATCATTCACTACATACTCAAACCAGAGAGGAAAGTGGAAAACAATATTCATAAGTGTCTCAACAATGTAAACTAAATAGATGTGGATAAGCCACACAGGGAATAAGAGCTTATCACACAAACCTCCACCTGTGACATCATGCTACTGAAACGCATTGAGACAATACCCTCTATTTGTTGAATGTCAATGGCTCCCACTTCCACTCTAATAATGGAGCAGGAAAATAAAGAGAACAGTACACATAGAACATTACTCATGTATGCAAAAATTCCCCTTAGAGGGCGCTAGATGTTAGCCTGCAACACATCCTCTATTCTCAAGCGTACATATACAGACAAGTGACGTGAGTATATGTGTACACAAAAGTTGGAGGGGGGGGGGGCAATTCTACAGGAAAATTCTTGCTAGCAGAATCAAGCCACACACCTGGGGGGATCTTCTGTTCAGGTTGGTTAAAGTACGCAACAAGAAAAAGTGTACAAAATGGTCAGCATACTGTATGAAAAACTAGAGCCCTACCAATAAACGCCTACAGAACCAGGAAGAGGTAGGCTGTTACTGGTTGGTACAACAGGGTACCACGAGGGAGAAATCTGGTTCCAGCTGTACCACTTGGGGCTGTTCCTTTGCAAGACAAGCAGAGTGGTAAGTTTTCAAGTGTTCTTTAAAGACCCTCCTTTTCCCAGACCTTTCAAACTGCCTGTTTGTTTCTTCTGAATTTATTGTATTGTTAGTCGTTCTGTCGTCCTGACCCATTTGTATTTTTCCCCTTATTGTTAGGTACTCTGATCCTGGTGTAGTGTAGTATAAATAATCAATATTATTATTATTATTATTAATATTATTGTTATTATGAATGGAGTAATGGGGGATAAGATGTACACAATGTATTATGTTGCCTGGCTCCCAATGTATGTGACACAGAGTAAGGATCAAGGGATGACATTTGCTAATGCAGTGAGCCATTGCATCTGCCAGGATGAAGGCCGTCAAACCAAAGACATCCACAAGAGTGGCCTAACTGAGGGCTCAATTGAGTTGGTGTAGAACCTACCCAACGTCCCAGAATGCAGGAGGCTATCTTGGGAGGGGGGGGGGGAATATAAGCATGCCTTTAAGGAGAGGCATAAGGGCGGCGCAATTATTGTAAACTGAGGGACTGTCTGCAAAGCTGCCAGCATAGCTCCTGTTTGATCATATTCAGGAAAATAGGGAGATCAAGGACAGATAGGCACACAGGCCAATGGACTATTTGGATGGAATCTGGAAACACCTGATCGCCCAAGTCTCAAGTCCTGCAATGGGGAACCCCTCAAAGAAGTCACTGACTTCCCCTACCTAGGTGCATGGGTAAACAACGCAGAACAGGATATCAAAGTAAGGAAAGCTCAAGCATGGAAGGCTCTGAACAACATGAGACGGATCTGGGCATCTAATCTCTCCCAAAGCATCAAACTTTGATTAGATTCTTGTACATGAAGCTACAGTTGAGACAATACTCCTGTATAGTTGCGAGAGCTGGTGTCTTACATCATCCCTAGAAAAATCTCTTGATGGATGCTATACAAGAATGCTTATGGTGGCACTGAACATGAGCTGGAAAGAGTACATTACCAACGCTTTTCTGATAAGATCGCCAGCAGACGAATGAGGCTCGTCGGCCACTGTGTGAGATACAAGGAGCTAGCAGGTAGTCAGCTGGTGCTCTGGGAGCCAAGGCATTGTTGCCGCAAGAAAGGATGCCCCCCCCCAACTCTTATCAACACACTGTGTAGGGACACTGGGACAGCTGGGACCCCTGAGATTAGATCACTAATGGAGGACCGTGCAGTCTGGGTATCCATTGCCAATGCTCGTCTGAGGCTGCCATTGGTAAGTATTAAGTGGAAACGCTGGGTAAGCTCATCTATCCCAACTAGGGTCCTTCCCCACCAAACTTGCAATATGTTTCCCATGCAATGGTGCATGCTTGAGTCGTTAGGCGGGCAGGTATGAATAATGAACTTGAGGTGTGTGCCTTTGCCCTGTTGATCTACCCCATGCTCATCATACCTTCTGCGTCTGTAACATGTATGGCCAGGAAAGGCAGGGATTCCTGGCTCTTACCTGCCCAATCTGAGGAGAGAAATCGTGTTGAGAAGTAAAACTGCTACATGGTGGGCTAGCATGCCAGAAAAACAAAAGACTCAAAATAACTAGCCGAGGGTAACCCAGAGGGAATCATCAAGGCAGCAGATCGTGACAATCCCCAATCTGAGCTTTCTGCGGACGGTTGTCAGGGAAACAAGGTGCAAACACTGAAACTGCCAAAGAATCTAGCAGGCAGGTCGCTATGTGAGGTAAGTATAGCCTTGGTGGGTCATCGGCAGGTGCAAACGCAACTAGGTCAGACAATGGTCCAACACAAGGGCTTGGACAAGTCCTGGAGACAGTCCGAGGAAAAGTTTGCATTCCTCCTTATTTCCATTGATCTTGGTTAAATCATGACGTCTGTTACTGAGGAACTGCTCAAAATAATATCGGGTTCAGGTGATTGACTGCAAAACCCGCCATAACAAACAGATACATCACGATGCTGGGAAAATGTGTCAATACCGCCAAAAGAAACACCAGTGGAAAAGACAGGTATGCTGTGAGGTGGCAGCAAGGTACATACACAATCCAACAATGTAATAAAGGCTGACATCCAGTGCACGGAACGGGTTTGAAGCTTTGGTTCAGGTCGCACCGCAATGTGAGAGTAAGATGCAGAAACGCGACAACAACTACAAGGACATAGCGTACCTGAATGGCTATTAAAAGCAAAATTGGAGCCCAGAAAAACTTGTCTTTCATGAGACCACATTAAGAAAAGAGAGAACGTGTAATACCAGGTAGGAAATCAATCTTAGCAAGTGTCTTTTGTTTTCTTTGGGAATATTGCATATCTACATGTAGCAACGCTCTATGGGTTAAATGAGTGCAGAAATATAAACATGTAGGCCTATTCTATTTTGTTGCTCACTCCTGCCATTACTTCTAAACAGCGACGTTCCTTATGAAGCTTTAAAATTAATAGCATGATGTCACAAGTGGAGGTTAACTAAGTCAGATAATACTCTCAGTGCACACCATTCAATAACAAACTTTTGATATCTTCTCAGGTTTGAGGGAATCTTGACGACAGTTACCCTAGGTGGGAAGTGCCTGAAAGTATGCAATGTACATAACTTCATCCAGTATATGATGGGACTGTCATTTCATAATGGTAAATGATGCCTTAGCGCTGCAACCTGAAGTTAACATACATACTTACCATACTCTCCAGTATACTGATGTATACCATTGGTGTAGACAGCTTCACTGTTCTGGCCATTAGCAGGTAGAGCCATGGTGTAAGTTGGCATGGTAGGTGATGGCAAAGAAGGTGTTGTGCAATTTACTGTGGCTTGGCCTGTCCCTGGAGTTGCAACTAGCAAATAGAACACAAAAAGATTATTGATAGCCTTATTATCTCCAAAAATGCAATGGTTAAGGCTTTTTTATTCTTAGAAGGAAATACAAATATCAGGTTAATTTTTTTTGTGTAAATTGAGGATTTTCTATTGTTCCTCGTCATCGATCTTTTGTTTATACTCTAACTTTTTAAACAACTTCCATTGGTTTTGTACACGTTTTCTAATCGAGGTCGTCCTCGATTTGACTCCTGTCCTCAATTACTCAATGACGTTTCACATGTGTATCCTCAGTTTACACCATAAACAAACCCATGTATGTTAGCTTGAATTACATGTACTGTTTCCTTTGTTCTTCTTTAAGGGGCACTTTCATCCAAATGCACTCTTTCGGGCTCTTAAATGCATTTCTCAAGAAATGATTACTAACAAATCTTTTAAAAGTAGACTTTAAATGCTTATACAACTACATGTATACCTTGAAAACTTACATTTTCCCTGCAATTATTGCACAAATGAATTTTGGGGTAATTCTTGTTGTTGATAATTTTGATCCTCAAAAATCAAGCCATTGGAGTGCTAGTTGTCATTTGAGTAACATGTTTCTGTCCGAAAAGTTGCTCCAAATGCCTGTGAACTAGTATTGCCATGTGCGTAAGTCTAAAACTAATACTGGAATCCAGTATCACATATGGAATTGTCACTATTGCGATTTTTATGTGGAGCCAGTCTAATATTGACAGTTTGGGTTTTACAGACTTTGATGGCTTTATAATTCACTATTGGAAACATGTATTGGCCAAAAAAAAATACTGCCACATCAGATGTAAACAATTTAAATGGAGGTTTTCAATATTTTCTTCATAAATTTAAGATCTTATGTGGATTTTCTGTTACCTTGGAAATATGAAAAGAAAAAAAAATGAACACTCAATTTTCAGACTTCTGGACCAAACTACGCCTTTAACCAATAGTGCACACTAATAGCAGATGGACAATGTACACCTAGTATTTGTTTGTTTATTTTTTTTATTGAAGGAACCAATAAAACTCTGTATATAAAGTACTGGTATATAAAGGAATTGTGCATATAACTTCTTAAAATTTGAATCTTAATGCGGTTGGATAATATCTTACATGCAAAGTCACTAGCGGTAGGTGTCATAGTAGTGGTTCCTGCAGTGAAGCCATTAGCAGCAGCAACCGCATTCATCTGTTGGACTTGGGCCGCAGACAAAGCTGCAGTCATTGGATTCATGTATGCTGTTGCCATGGTTTGTCCACAAGCCATCAATGCTGCCTGCTGCTGCATGAACTTAAGAAAACCAAATGAATTAATCTTTCAATTTTCAAACATACAGTGACCACACAGACATAAACAATACCTACTGCATGACAAACAAACTACACACACAATACACCTATATCGGGTCATCTGCAATTACCCCCAACAAAGCCGTACATGTATCAAACTAGTATGTGGCCTTACAAGTCATTGCAGTTGGGTGGGAAAGAACTGGTTGTATTGTGATGAAAGTACTCCTCAATTAAGGATCGATACTGTAAGCTGAATCCAATTCCAGCATGGCCTATGAAGGCATTTGCCAAAGTGGACATGAATGTAAATTTGTGTTGTCATGCAGAGAATGAATTGCAATGCCAATTCACAAGCGATGAGCACATTTCAACTCTGGCAAATACATACATGTAGCATTGCGAATTATTATTGATCTGTCAACTTCACTTTACACAAGTTTGTATTCGCTTGTACATGTAGTATGATAGCCCTTAACCAGTTCGTGCCGGATGACGTGTATACACGCAAAGGTTTTGGGGTATTCAGAACGGATGACAGATACACACGCAGGGAGCGTGAAATATCTGTCAGTGACCCGCTGGCAGCAAGCAAGGCCAGAAATACGAGTGTGCTGCCTGAGGGTGATGGCTTCAACCCGCTGGCTTGAGGTTGAGTCAAAAAATAATCCTGCGCCTCATTCCATTCTTTTCAAAATAATCCCGGCGCGAACTGGTTAGAAGTGATTTTCATAATATGCCCAACACCCACAAAAAACAACAGCCTTTTCTCCTTTTCCAATTCTCAGTTGCATCACTTACATGTACATGTACACAAATATGCAAGTTGTATTTAGATTCATGTACACGTACATCTAAAAAATTACAACATAATTTGCAACCTAACTAAAAACAAAATTACTTCTTAACATTTCTGGCCCTCTGAGGTACCCATGTGCAATGTAAATACTCAATACATGTTTACAACAATGTTTTCTCTAGTTGCCTGCATTCTCATGACATTACTGATTTTCTGTAACCTTTTTCAGTTTAATTTTCAAATACCATTCAAAAGCATTTGTTAAAATCTACATGTAAAGGGACTTTATGGATCTGAGATCTCCAAATCTGAAATGAAACATGGGGCATAATTTTGAAAACAGGCTCTGCATTGAAAAATTAGGACATTTTAAAATGTAAATATAATAATACAGACAAATTTTTACTTATTTGTTCAGAAATCCACTGTACATATTTGACCTTTAATATACATGTAGTTAATATGGAAGACAAACTTTTTTTAAACAAAAAACAAATTTCTGTTGTATAGTCAGATAAAAATGCTGCTTGTTTTCAGGCCCCATGATATTGAAGTAGTAATGCAAAGAGTAACAAAGACTAATCATACATGTATTTCAATGCTTGCAAATTTCGAAGTTTCTTTCGTCATAGGGAATAAAGATACCAAAAAGAAAGCAAGATCTGACATATCTCAAAATACATGTATATATTTCAATTTTATTTTTAATTCATTCACTGCTCATCCTAAGATGAAATGTTTTTGGCATTTTTCTTTTAACATCTATCTTAAAACCATAGCCATGCCTCCTCAAAGAAAACAGAGTCCATACTTTTTGGGAAAAACGATATCCACCCATCTGTGTGATGTACTTGTGTATAACAAATATAAACCAAAAACATGTAACATAATTACTGTGAAAATATCCTGCTTCGTACTCACAGCTTGTGCATATGCACCGTAAGCTCCTAATCCTCCCATTGGAGTAATGGACAATGTTGGACTGAAGAATCCCGATACTGGCCCAGCAGGAACAGACTGCTGCATACGACGCATTTGTCTTTCTTTTTCCGTATCAGCAAACTTCACCACCAGGCCTGTAGAGGAACCCTGTAAGACACAATCGCAACATCAAGTGTTCAACAGTCATCTTATTTTTATATTCATTTTACTCCTCTTCTAAACATTCAATGGTATAAACTTTCAACTTTCAACAAAGTATCAACTCTGATCCCGAGGTGTGCATATTACTCTGATGTCATGATGATGTCATGGGGTATCAAATTACAAGCAATTTTGGGTTAAATTTGAACAATTACTTGGTTCTATAACTTTTCAAATGACTGTAGGACCGTTCTCATTTTTTGTAATGTGGTAGACATTGCTTCGGGCAATACTTTGGATTACTGGAGGTAACTTTGTTACTAGAGGTGCAATGAGAATTGAACTTGAAAACAGTAGCATCTTACTACAATCAACCAAATGATGGAAACGATGGAAAAGTGAGAGATGCCAAACACCAAAAACGACATGATAACATCATCACCCAACACGGCGTCCTATCCTATAGTGGTGCGCCAAAAACAGTTGAACATTTTTATTTAAAACCATTTGTCAAAATTTTACCAAATTGCCCACAGATATTCTTTGGACAACCGCAACTGACTTTTAGTTTCAGGATCATGATGTCATTAAAATGGAAGTTATTGCAGGGAAAATTTGAAATGATCAGTTTCCTTTCTTTTTTAACAATTGCTCAAGTTCATAATTTGATGTCTAACGAAGATGTTCGTAGAACAAAAAGTGATATCAGCTATAATTTTGACCTTGGGCTTTCTAATGGTGACGTCATCGAACCGGAATTTAGGCGTTATTGATACATAAAAGTAACATACACTTATACATTTATTGCAATCTTCGTATGTTCAGAAGTTCTTTTCAATTCATGATTGTATCCTGTCTGAACTAAATCAATATTCAGCTTCCACATGTTTAACTGATGACTTCATCGAACCGGAGGTAACTTGTACGTATAAATATGGTTCCAATCTAATAATTTTTTGATTCTTTTCTGTTCAGACCTAAAAATATAAACAACTTAAATGGGTAATGTCCAGTGAAATAGTTTCCTGCATTTGTAACTTCAAAAACGCTGTAGCTCTAGTTGTCTGTGGTACCGGTATATTCATCAACAATGTGCTATAGAGAAAACTGCCAAACAGAGTCAGAAACACTAAAACTGGAAAATTTGAATGTCAAGAAATTCCCTTTCCTCCATCAATGGAAAGAGGAGACTTTCCAATCAACTCATACACACTTACACATTCGAGGTACTAAAGCAGACAAAACAAGGTACTAAACTGTATTCTTTCATTTGATTGAAATTGCACTATTGAATTAATACATATTGTACAATTCCATCAGTAATGACATTAAAAGAGACATCACACAGAAATAATTCCAAAGCATATAGTGTATGAGCTTGTCACAAATGATCTCTGTCCACCTCCAGAAGAGATTCAACCAATTTGCCATCTTCTCATTTGATTTTTATATCAGTAAAAAAAAACAAAAAAAAAAACCCAAAAAGGCAGGGGGGTACCCCCCCCCAAGAGGTTGCCATTTTTTGTTTTGTTTTTTGTGTAAATTTTTCTTTTAGTCCCACGATTTGACTTTGGTGATATGTATGTGGCCCATTTTCGAGTAGTATTGGTGTAAGTGGAGCCACCAATGTCAAAATAGTCCCCCCCCCCCCAACAAACAAAACAAACAAACAATTTTTTTCTGCGGCAAACAATTTTGGGCAACATTTTTTGAAAAAATTTAAACTTCTGAAATATTTGGAGAAAAAAAATTGTGAGCCCCCCCCCAACCAAATCCTGGGTGCGCCACTGAAATAGGCAACAACTGTAAAATTAAACTGTCATCTCTGCTGGAAAGCGGTCCACAAAAACATTCACTGCATCCCAAATTGGTGGTATTGTACTCAAGGTTAGTTTTTAAGTTCTAAACAGGGAGATTTTTTGGGGGGGGGGGGGAATAATATAGCTCATCACAAAGCCCTAGAAATTAAGACCACTCAAAACTCAATGTGACAGCTACATAAACAGACAAAGAGGGGAAAGAATAGGGACGATTAGAATAGGGACGATTAGAAGTGATGCATGATGCAAGTTCAGAAGACAAATGCTGCATGGAAAGAGTCGACTGTTAATTACATCAATATTTTGCAGGGTTACTTTATCAGGTACACTATTTGCAACGTTTATCTAATATCAACATGTTGAGATCTAGGCCTGGTGAAAAAATGCAACTTTGCAAAATATTGATGTAATTGACAATTTTCCTCGAGCCACATACATGTACTTGTACGTATCCCGTACACATACAAATGTACATGTACAAGTATCAGTTGTAAGGTTCCTATTATAATGCCGGGGAAATACAGGCAAGGTATTACAGAGTGAGGCAATGAGTGGGAAAAACTGAATGAATGCTTTGAGGACAGTGATGGCATTTGGATGTGAACAAACATAAACAGAAAAGCATGTAGTGCATCCAACGAAATGATTAATACAGGGTGAGTAAAAAACAATAACACCACATTCCAAATAGCAGGACCAATTTTTGAATGAAGTTTTGCCTGTAGCACATTCAAAATCTGGGATATGAAAGCCCAATCAATGAGCTTTCTTAAATTAGTACAAGAATAATTCAAATCACTCATGAACTTTTCAAGTTACAGCATTTTGAACACAGACACCATTTTAAAGTTCTGTCCATGGATCACAAAAAAGGTACCGGTATGTGTTCTTTCAGCAAAACGAAAACAATTCACATACATCCCTATGAGAATTGTTTTCACTTTGCTGAAAGAACACTTACTTTTTGCGATCAAACACTATTGTTTTTGATGGCCAATTTCCATCATTTGAGAGGGGCACAATTTTGTTATTTCAAGAGGGGTATTTTTGCTTTCCAGGTGTAGTTTTCCTTCTCGAGAAGGTGCACAATCTTGTTAATGCGAGATGGGTACTTGTGTTTTTGAGGGGCAATTTTGCATTACAAGGGAGAAGACAATTTTATTTGTTGCATGATCATATGCTTTCATGTGTGCGTGTGAGGGGCAGTTTTGTTTTCAATTCGAGGGAGCACATTTAAAACCGCGAGACGGGCACTTTGTTGGCCTGGGAAAATCATGATAAATTGGGCAAAAGCCAAGATATTCCAACGGCATTAGATTTAGGTATTGCCATTCACACTTCTCGTACAATCAACATGAATCACTTGATAACTCAAAATCCCTTGAATATTGTTTCACCATTTGCCAAGAACACGTACCGGTAAGCCATATTTAACAAAAAAAGGAAGAGTCAGGGATCCATGGCTTCTAGTGACTTATCTGCCCATGCATGCCAGATGGCCCTTCTACTTGCAATATGGTATATAATGTACATGTACACATCTTTTTTAATCCAAAGAAAGGAACTCTTGGGACCTTTATCTGGATGTGATCCAGCAAAAGACCGATTCATTATTAAGCCCCACCCACTGCACACATGAGCGTCAACACACTCCCCTTTCCAGTGCCACACTGCAAGTTCAAGCCCCGCATGTCATGCGTAATTAGTGCACACATTTTGTCGGACATTTCATTAGCCAAGTCATGGCTGTGATTGGTCAAAAAGTCATGTCGGGGAAGTGGAAATGTTTAGGGCATAAAGGGCGTACAGGATGTTCTGTGGCAATCTTGATCCATCTTTGACCCAAGATACCAGTAGAGATCCCTTAATTGTTTGATCGGATCCTGCAACTGATGTTCGTTAAAACATAAAGATTATCTGATCCTGGCTACTTTCAGTTGTGCAACTGCCATGCACCATCAGAACGAAAGAAATTTCAAAATGACTTGGGAATCCTGCATGGACAGGGCGTGGCCATCACATGCGAAATTAGACTGTCAATTGAGAGAATTATTCTTAATGAGGAACACTGTGCCTTCAGGATTGAAGATCATATGCAAGTAATATGCACCAATTTGTTGAAAGATGTTTTAAATTTGACACTATTAAACAAGTAATATGCAAATGTACTAGTCTTTGAAAATCATGAGTAGAATTTGCTATTGTCAATATTGTTGTTGATACTGACGTATCTTGTCAAAGTTATTATACATTGACCTACAAAAGGAACGTTTTTACAATTCCAATCGTCATTGCCAGAAGTTAAGCAAGCGATACATGGAAAATGTTGGGTTGCCATTGGGTGCTATGCCCAGTTGAGATGAATGCAGTGCATGCACCTACACAAAGTGCATATAATTCAAATTTTGCGGTAGTTGATTGGTCCCCTAGGAAAGCCTTGGGGAACAATAAAGAAAAAGTCAAACTATCCATGCTGGATACCCAAGACGTTAGTGCAAAAAAAAGAGAAAAACATGTACAGTGTGCTACATGTAGCATCCACTACGGATCATTAAGGTCGTGTCTGAAGGACGAGCTGGCCTGAACAAAGTCACTGCAACATATGAATATACATTTTTTTGAGTACTCACAGGCATAGACACAGTTCCGTTGATGTTATTAATGGCTGCCAATGCTTCCTTCCTTGAGTTAAATTTGATGAATGCACACCCTGTGTAAAATACCATAGATATTCAAGGTGGTTTATCTTTTACCACAGCAACATACAATGTACCCTCCACGACATATTTCTTAAACTCCTTTCAATGGCTTTTGTAGATTATTTCATTTACAACTTGTACGTACATACATGTATCAATTTTTAATGCAACTGAAATGTTACATAAAATACTGAATCATTTACATGTACGAACCTTTTTCAACACCCAGAATGGCACGTCTTTCTAAAACAGGTGTCCATGTGTACGATTGAAAGGTAATGGACAGTGTTGCAAAAGTACATTTGTTTTTCCGATTCAAGGAACAACACAACAAATCTGAATCACATTACTTAAGTATTAACCCGTCTAACTTTCAGCTCAATAGATATCACACTTTTTGTGAAAACTGTGAAAATACATTTCCATTTTCTCGACGCAAAGCATACATGTTGAAGGTTTCCGTTGAAAGCGCAATGGTTTGGTCCTCACCATTGCTAGGTAATGATGACGACTCCTTTTCTCAAAACTGACAGCATACCGGTCGTGAGATCGCACAGGATTCATTATCCTATTAGTTACTTACAGTTAAGTATAGGATATGTTATGATAGGTTTTGGTTTCATTTTTGAATGTTTGCAAATGGTGTCCATAAGCTTTAATATTTTACATGTCAAAGATTTACAACCTTCATATTAGTAAAAGTTTCATCTAAAAATGTTACCTCTGCAAATTGAATATTTTAGGCCACCAAAAAAAGAGAGCAAAAACTCCCTGAGACGTGCTGAGTCGGTGTTTCTGTGATATGGTTTCTGTTGCGATTCTCTTGGGAGAATTTTTTTCCCTGTCTTTTTATACATACTTATGTACGGTATTAATAATGCTATCTGTGATTTATTCAGTTGCGTAGAACATTCAATGTATAAACAATATAGCTGAAAACTGCACTAGCGGTTTCTGCATCCTTCACCAAAACTACTAACAAAGAAGAATTTTTTTATAGAAACTAACAATGATCAGGAATCGACCAAATCACTAACCTCGACTGACGCCATTAGCATCACGTAAAACGGTACACTCATCAATCTTGCCAAATCGGCTGAACATTGCACGCACATCTTCATCAGAGTGATGTTTATTTAGCATACCCACAAACAGCTTCCTGTCCTCTGAAAAACAAAACAACAAATAAATGTTAACTCACATTTCCACAAACAACACCAACTAAAGGTTGTGTGTATGTATACTGCTACGTTCATAAAGAAGTCACTATGTTAAACAGAAGCATGGTGGAATTTGGACTTTATAAAACACATATTCTTGGGTTCTTCAAATTCAGAGTGTTTGAAGTTGTGAAGATGTCACTATATTGATACATACTATTTATATGTATCTTTTGTAATGATGACATCATTGAGTAACTAGACTTATGTTTGTGGACGAACACATGGCTGTTTTGGCATTTTGTTATTGTACATGTGTATTTCAATGTCATGCTATCTAGACTGACAGGACGTACATGTGCAGTAGTAAAATTCAGAGTGATCAGAACAAATAGTTGTGCACGGATATAGGCCATAGAAAAATGCACCTTTAATGTGATGTCACATGACATGTGATGATGTCATTATGACGTCACTTCAATTTTCATCTACAACACATCCCAGCTTAGGTACATGTACATACCAAAGTTACAACCAAATTGGACCTGTAGTTCTGCAGATATAGGCCATAGGAAAAAATTTTTTTTAGTGTGACGTCACATGACGTGTAATGACGTCATCATGATCACTTAAGAATTCATCTATAACACATCCCAGTCTAGTACATACCAAGTTGCAACCAAATCGGACCTATAGCTCTGGAGGTATTGGCCTTAGAAAAATGCACATTTAATGTGACGACTTGTCATGCGATGACACCATCATGAATTCATTACGATTTTCATCAGTAACACATCCCGGTTTAAAATGTAGGTACATACCAAGTATCAACCCAATTGGACCTGCAGTTATGTAGATATACCGTACATGTAGGCCTTCCAAATATGCACCTACATGTATAATGTGACGTCAAATGCTATCTCCCAGTCAAAAACTGTGTCATTATAAGTAAAGGTCAGGCAACTTCAACCCCACAACAAATTAAGTAGGTACGATTGTTCATTTTGTTCATGAGCTATAAAAAGTATCGCTTGATACAAGATGACATCAGGAGTCATCGGCAATGCGTTCGAATGTCTAGCTCCAAGTGATTTCCCACAACTCTCCCTTTCTTACCATTGAGGGGGGACTTGTGCATGGAGCCCATACATACCTAAATGCATTGTGTGAAACCCAAGTTGGAGATCACCTGAAAAAAATTACACACTGGCCATTATGGCGAGTGCCCAACTATTTGAGATAGTAAGGCATTGGTTTGCACCCACACCCAAAATAGTATCTACAGTGACTTGAACACCTTGAGTTTCTGTATGTGGTTAAAAATCATCATATTAATAGCAAAGAGGTAATATTTTTCAAGTAAAGCCATATATTTCAAAGGTCCGGCTCATAGAAAATCCATAATTGGGGTTGAAGAAATATAAAAATTCTCTTTTTAGGGCAGTTTCACGGGAAAGGTTGCAAAATGAAAAATAGGAAATCGATGCTTTATTTCATAGGAAGACTTTGTTGGAATTTGCTGGTTTTTGTCTCACAAGGACTGTAATGTTGTAGCAATCTCCAGAAAAAAAATCGCAGCTGTACGCATTATGGTTTTCAAATTATAAGCTCACATGGGTGCTAAAGCACAAGATTTGGAGTCTCACTCACATTTTCTAGAAACTGCAATTGATGAGAATTAAAAATAAATGCAATGGGAACCACCCAGACTTGCAAGGACATTGAAGTATGTCCCAAAAATATGTACACCAGATTTCATTAGGATTGGCCAACTCGTTCTTTCTTAATGCCGTTTTGAGTGAGACATTGATGTGTTTGTTAAACGTTTTTTCAAAATGTCCTTTCCTGAACATGATGTTTTTTCCCAGAATTAAAAGAAAGAATACACAACTTATTGCCTGTCAAAATGATGCTACACACTCCAGTAATCAAGTATAAAAAGATGGGAATTGGATAATCACAAGTAAATTTGATACAGCAGCAGCCGCATATACCATGCAAATGTTTGTTAAAAATGTCCTTTCCTGAACATGGCCCCCCTTTTTTTACAGGAAGTCAGAGATAAAACTTTTTTGACATAAACATGTACCTAGGGGTGTACTTACTAGATTTAACAGACTACAAAAAGAATCCGACTCGAACCTTGTTGCTGTCATGACATTGTCGTTAAACTGCATTGTCCTTTCCTGAACATATAGTTTAACAGAGTACTTGGAAAAACCATTGTTGCAGAAATTTGATGAAGTTTATGCTTATATTGTCTGTAAACTTTATGTTCTAAAATTAAAACCAACTAAATTGCAAGAAAGTGTTAATGTTTTGTTCTTACAGGTCATTTACTCACTCATGATTACACACAATATGAGTAAACATGTGCATATACATTTATCTTTACAAGTCACACTTAAATCCAATATTTGTCAGGAATTGGCTAATTTACAGTTTCAAACCATCCCTTCCACAAAATATACACATTAGTTTGAGTAAATGTAATCAAAATTTACTGTTTTAGTCTAGTTTCTGTGTATTCAAGTGTTCAGGATAGGACACTTTTTTTTAACAAGTTTAACAACATCTGTAATACATTGTACCGCACTGTTTTATCAATTCTTTCTGTGTGCAGCCATTTCATTAGTTTAATTGCTGTGAAAAATGGAACAGTCAAGCTTATGCACTGATCATGCACAACTTGTATGTTGATCCTTGTTAAAATGTGTGTCCTTTCCTGAACATGTTCAGATGTTTGAAACATTTAACAAGGAACAAGTACAGATACACATGAACCTTCCTCCGTGCATACCCCACATGTACTGTACGTGTGTACAAATTCTTTAAACTGTTGTTGGCTTGATGTGCCTATTCCTTAGATCCCATTTTGTAAAAAACGCCATGCTGACTAGTTTTTTTTTTTTCACTGGATAGTACAGTTTAATTATCAAGGCATTTCTTTGTGGGGCATGTACATATCAGTGTCTCAATACAAAGTTATGTTTTCACCAGCAGTAATTACATATAATCATTTGAATGGACATGATAACTTCAGACCATGGAGGAATAAGAACTAACTTTATTGTCATGCAGGAAATGCACGGTGCTACCAGTATGCTAAACATTGTTAAATAGTTTGTCCTTTCCTGAACGTAAATTTAGTTAGGTGGAGCAATAACAAGGTACAAACTGATCTGCCTCACACATGTATAGCCTCCCAACTCTAGTTTTATGGTTATTTTTCTTGTAATGCTGCTTCATAAGATCAAACTTGACTGAATGTAGTAATTGTTAAAATTGTTGTCCTTTCCTGAACAAAGTAAACCATTTTCATAGCAATGATAAAGACCATGGTAACTCTGTAACACAGCACACTATACTCACAATTTTTTTGCCAATTGTTCTACCATGTATACAGCCTTTGGACAAAAGTGCAAATAATCAGCAGGCTACATGGTTTTCTGTAAAACAGAAATTATGAAAGTTTGTGTTTCAAGGAAAAGAGAGCTATAAAATTGAATTTTCCGTCATTATATGAAAAAACATGGTATTTTTCATAGCCTAAAGTGCATTAATATTCAAGACATGACTACTGTGATGACTATCAATCATTTTAAAGCAACTCTAAGCATGTTTGAGATGTGGAATTAGCAGTTTATGATGCCTACCTTTATTTGACAAATTTTATGGTCTGCAAAGTGTAAAGTGCCTTAAAATTGAAACAAAAAAATGTTTAAGCCTTGACTTTAACATTTTCTAGTACCTTTATGTATGTACTTTCAACAAATAAACATGTTGTATCCATACAACAAGTTTCATTTTTGACCCCCCGTGAGACTTTTTTGCAACTTTTCCCGTGAAACTGTTGTTAATATGCCCCAGAATGAAGGAGATATTTATTGGACCCCACTAGCAGAGATGTGCCATCAGCACTCGTTCACACCTACACCTGACCCCCCCCCCCCCCCCCCGAGCCAAAGTTGGATTCACCCCTGAACCCTGATTTAAACATGTGCATATGTACATATTTGTACTACCGCACAGTTTCAACCTTTCGGTTCTGCGGGGAAAAACATGCATTTAAGTATTTATGAAAATGTAATGCCTTGCTTTGAAGTGATAATGGACCATTAGACTACAAACCTCCTCTGCTTTCACTGTCGGCCGGCTTGACTTGCATCGGGCGGTTCATCTAAAGATCAAACAAGACAGCATACAAATCAGTATCATAGGATGTATGCTCATTGCCCCATGCACTGCAAACTTACATTCACAGTACAATGTGCAAAGATACAATTGCAATGTGTACATGAAATTCACGTACTTCTTGATATGTAAGGGAATGAAAACATTTCAGTAAATGAGATTTACATGATAGTTCAAGTGCTAAACAGAGATCTCCATGCAAACTCAAATGTTCCAACTTTCACGTTTTATGAAGCATGGAAAAGCTGACACGTAAACAGACTAGCCAAGCGGCGAAGCCGCGAGGGACTTTACCATCTCGTTGAGAACGCTTATGTTTTTCTTTACATTTGTCTACCGATTTGGTAGACATGCATAATGCATTACCCGTTGTGAATTTACCAATGAAAATGCAGAATTACTAACATAAATCAGCCGTTGTCTGGCACCAGACAGCACGCGCGCCATGGCGCGTGTACTGTTGCTGGTAACCGCAAACCACCCTTAGATGATTGGTTTATATTGCTTGATTTATATTACGTGAATAAATGAATAAGCGATTAGTTCCACGAGATAGCAAAGGCCCTCGCGGCTTCGCCGCTCGTGCTAGTCTTTTTACGTGCCAGCATCCTGGGTGCATTACGTGTCCGGATGGTCCAGGTACATGTATAGGCGCGTGGGACTTGACTAAAGGCTATACAATTACTAAAAGCAGTCTTAAAACTTAACATAAAAAATTAATGTCTAGTTACAACGTTGTACTACTTACTACTTTGTTTCCAAAACACAATACGTGCCATTTTGTTAACTTTTAGAATCCTGCCCTCTCCAGAAAATGTAATAATACCATAGAACCACGCCTGGTAGGCCTAACGCCTGGTGGGTTCGCTGAGAAATTCCTGAAGTGAGCTGTCAAGACAGCGAAAGGTGGAACCAAGCATGTCAGCTGGAATGGTACCGACAACCAACCAAAATGTCACCAAAGCTCACCAAATTGTAGAAACAAACAGACAGGACTTCTAATAGTACAATGAAACCATGGATTTAGCAAAGGAATGGCTGGAGAAAGACTTGAAATGATCAGACATATGAGCAAATTCGAGAGCTAATGAAATCAAGTCTTTCCCATAGTGCGCTAAGAAAAAAAAGAGGAAGTATGGGTGGCATGGCTGGCTTGTGCGTAAAGCACTCATCCCTCACCACTGTGACCCTGGTTCGAATCCTGCCCGCGGACCATACATGCTATGTGAGATGTGAGTAGAGTTCTCTCCTGTGCCACAGGTTTTTTTTACAGGCCCTCCGGTTTTCCTCCCTCCAAAAAAATTCAAACACTTTCGATCTCAGTCCGTGCTCCGTGGTCATATGGGTCGATGAGGCTGGCTGCCAGACAAGCCTGCGCCTGTACATGCCAGCGGCTTGACCACGTTGTAGCCGCCTCCTTCGCAATTCAACTATTCAGCTGCGAGTAAGGATGATAAGCCTCCCAAATTATTATTATTATTAATGGCAGGCCCATAAGGTACTGTGTACTGTGGGAAATACAATCTTAGCGAATGGTTAGCGTCCTCAACGGAATAATACATACATGTATACATGTATGTAGTAATGCTCAGGTAAGATGAGCGCAGTTGAATGTAAATTCTTAAAAAGAATCAACGGTTTGCTGAATGGAGTGAGGTCACAATAGTACATTAAGTTTCATGCTACACAAGTATATATACCAAATATTTGTCTTGCATTTATTCTTACCTTATAATGTGTATTGTGAACTTTTTTACAGGCCTGTATATTTAATGACCATGAATATTAAATCGTTGGTTTTTTTTTTAAATAATTACAAGAAAGTTACATATACATGAACTGAAGTCTCTCTTTTGTGTATTTGTGGGTTTTTTTTGTAAAGTATCTCAAGATATTTGGTAAATTTGTAGCATCCTTCATAGTTGGCGATTTCACGCTGATCAACTTCCACCTGTAGTTCGACCACGTCATTCAGAGTAGAACTTCAGGTTTAAATCTAAATTACTAGAGTGAAGGGGGAGTAAATGCAGGTCAAATACTAGACCAGAAGTAGGCCTACATATTGTCAGCGTTTTCACGAAGGGATGAATTAGTAAAAAAAAAAACCCATTTTTTTTTCAAAATTCTTTTTCCAGCCGAAATCGGTTGAATGAACAGCAACGAAAGTTTTGGCGAAGTCTTTTTGGTAAAAATCAGTTTAAATCCATGAAAAAATGACAATCAATGTAGGGAAAATTTCACCCAAATCGTATTTTGAGTTTTCACGAAGAGACAAATTCAAACTCTATCAAGTTGTTCTATGGGGCAAAAACAAAGGGCGTGTGGAATTTAAGTTTTCACGAAGAGATGAATAGAGCGTGCGCGAAGGGCAAAACAACGTGCGTGTGTGATTTTAAGTTTTCACAAGAAGACAAATTCGCGCAAAGGGTATGGGCAATGGGTATTGGCAATTTGCCAAAGCAACAGGGTTGTGGGATTTTGAGTTTTCAAGAACAGACAAATCTCTATGGATATTAATTACATGTAGTCCACAATTAATTGTTCTATTATACTGTAATTGGTACATCTTTGAAGTTTAAGATCTCAGCTCACTATAGAGGCCTATGTATCAAAAAGTAGTCAGCATGTGCTCCAAAAGTAGTCAAAATATTTATTTCAAAAGGTGACCAACTTAAACTTGTTTTTCTCAAAACCACTGTTCAACACCCCGTGGCCCAATTCGTCCCTTCATGAAAATGCCGGACGATTCACATGAAGACGAGTGCCAAAAAATACCCCTAAACCAAACCAAATGCAATTAGAAGTTTAAAAAAAGGTGTTCATATGATAACGTTAAAGCAAGTACATGTACTGTAAATGTCAATAAGTAATTTCATGGTAATATGCGCCATATTGCTTACAGGGCAAAGTTAGACACAATGCTGTGTACGCATTGAAAATTTTTGCACTTCCAAGTCATCATGCATTCATTCCAAAATGCGTCGGCATCTAGCAACATGGGTTCTTTTTGCCCTGCGAACAAGATGGCGCATAGTACCGTGAAAGCGCTTATTAGACAGTAAATGTACGGTACATGAAAACTACTTTTGAAGAAAGATGAACTGAACATCTGTTCATCAGATATACATTAGACTTGGTCAAACACAATATGCATCTTCAAAAACCACTATAACAACGGTCTAGTTCACAGGGGTGTGAGTGACCACTGATAAAAATAGCTGAAAACAGCTGAAAAGGGTGTAAAAAAGCTGAATTTTGGAAATCTCCTATACTTTTGTACACAGCAAATGAGGAGAAAAAGCTGAAATCCAACAAAAAAAGCTGAAATCAGCTAAAAAGCTGAGATTTCACACCCCTGAGTTCAGTCAATGTCATATATCGCAGAAAGAACTGTACTGATGATATTTTTCTGAAAATACCGCAGTCCAGATTACGAGTGGGTATTTTCAGCTCTGTTACTAGAAAGTTAAGTGATGATTCTAGAATTTGGCAATTCAAATACTTTTTAAAGTCAGGAAAAACCTCCACACAAGTTGACTTTTTGCCAAACAAGCATGGAACTTCTGCTCGAAAAGTTGGAAAAGTGTTGAGGTAGTTTTCCAAACAGTTTTACTTAGTAAAGTTTACTTCAGATCACATAATAGTGGTAACTTACATTCCTATCTTGAAAAATATTAAAGCAATTTGCATAATACTCATTGTTACTTCCACTAAGGAGGTTATGTTTTCATCGGCGTTGGTTGGTTGGTACCATTTTGCGCGTACATGACTCAGAGTACCAGCAGTGACTTCAGAAATCAAAGTTGTGCTCGTTCACATTGTACGGGCTGTGTGAGAATTTAGAGTGTTTTTGCGCGACACTGGAACATGGCGTTGTTATTGACGCCGCGTTAATGGGCCTTATGCAAGTATTTCTTTTGGGTGTACTGACAATATGGCAAGGAATTGTTCAGCCTTGATGGAGGTTGCACTCTCTAATGTCTGTCTAATTTTAAAATCTATCTCTTGTGGAGTACCCAAGTGTCCTCTGCTAGGACCTTTGCTCTTCGCCCACTGCATCCTGGAAAACAGCCAATTGGGTTACAAAGACGTGTTTTAAACAAAATGATATGAATTGGAAAGAGCATTTAAAAGTAGAAGATAAACTTCCACACAACCATCCTTTAAAAATTGGCTGTTTGTGTACTTGTACAGTATGTGCTCACACACTAGACGTGTACCGTACATTGAATCATCTGACATCATGGAAACAGAAGCTGGGGACAACGTTCAAGAAGGAGACTTATATTTATGGCTGGAAATATGCATGTGTACACCACAAAATGTCCACTGTGTCAGAAGTAAACAACTGGTTGGTTTTTCGTCTTTTTTTCAGGAACAGTGTCACATTACTGGTACATGTTAGTTTTCTTTCAACTAGACCTTTGAAATAGGATAAGTAAACAATCTTGAACATACAAATTTTGGCGATTTCAGGACAATGAGTCCACTTTAATTAATATTCATACATTGTAAATGCCTAAGACAGTTTACCCATTCCTATTGATCGGGATCCCGTCACGTGGCCAGTCTTAGATGGTTGATACACCACCAGCTGGCTGGTCCAAAACACTTTCCCAGTGACACATGGAATTTGGACTCCTATAAAATTTGGTCTCTTTTACCCTTTATATTGGTTGAAGAGGGGGGTGGGGGGGGGAGGGATGGGCTTGTACCATACTTTCAATGGGGCGCTGTTGAAATCCTACATTTATTAACACTACATGTATATTACAGCATAGTGTAAAAATACCCCCGTAACCCAGCAGGCTCCGTCCATATTTGGGCACAAGCATAATACCAGTAACATTGTTTTGGGGTGTCAGAGCAGGGGGGAGGGGGGGGGGGGGTTAGCATTGTTTTTTATGAATAGGAAAAAAAAAGTTGACAGAGCTGGGGGGGGGGGGGGGAGGGGCCTGGATCCGCCTGATTTTGGGGACATTTCCT